CGATGCCAAAGTACCAGAACATGGAGCCCAGGATGAAGAACGAGACGAATCCGAAGAAGGCACTGGGGATGGAGCGGACGATAGAGCGTGCCGGCAGGGAGAGCGCGCTCGAAGCGGGGAGGGAGGGGAGGGGAGGGGAAGGGAGAGGGAGGGGATGGGGGAGGAAGGAGGAGGGTGGAGGAGGGAAGGGCAAGGAGGAGGGAGGAATGAGGGAGAATGCTTGGAGAAACATACCCTGTGGTTGCACCGATGCAGAGTAGCCACAAGGGCAACATTAGCCCCCGCTTTGGCGAACCCTCGGCCGGTGTGACGCGCTCTTGCTCACGTCTTGCTTGCGCCACGCATAAGGCTCCCACGCCTGCTACAAGTTACACTGAGCGATAATACAATCGCAACCTTGGAAATCGCCGCGAAACAGATTGGATAACGAAACGCGTGCAAAAAACGTTTGAATTTTAAACGCACTTTAAGCAAGAACGAGCAGCACCACGGAAGCACAACGAAGAACAACACGAGGGCCCAAACCTAACTGAACATCGTGGTGGTCGGTCCCTGGAGAGTATCGAGGGGCGGCGGCGAATGAACCACGAGCACATTGTGAGGGAGATAACTAAGGGAAAAAGGAACAGGAGGAGACCGCGAGGACGGAGGCGCGAGGTGGGCAGGCGCCCCCCTGGGCCCGCTCGGGGGGGGGGGGGGGCCGCCGCGGAACCCGGGAAGGTGAAGGTGGGGCAGGCGCTCCTGTCGAGGTGGCGCGGGATCTGGGCGTGAAGGTGGTGGAGGTGGAGGGGGCGAAAGAGGAGGGGCGAGGGCAAGTGAGGGAGAGGACACGGTGGAACGGAAGAGAGGGGAGGAAGCGGTGGCAGGGAAGGGGGGGGAGGAATCGGTGGCAGAGAAGGGGAAGGAAGCGGTGGCAGGGGAGGGAGAAGGAGTGGTGGAAGGGAGGGGAAACGGTGGCACGGAGGGAGGGGAGGAGGGCAGCGCGAGGCAAGAAGCCACGCGGTCGCGCGGATGAGGGGGGAAGGCGTGGGAGAACGGAGCAAGAGAGGGGAGGGGGGGGCAGAGCGACAGGGCAAAGCGAGGCAGAGGAGGGGACATAAGGGGAGAGGCAGGGTGGGCGACCGCACGTCGGAGACGCTCCGGAAACCGGAAACGCTCTTTGTGCTGCTCGTCGCGCTCGCTGCAGCCTCTGCGGCACCGCCTTGACTGCTTCAAGGAACGCTTTAGGGCCCTGCGCCGCCAAAGGCGTCGCGCAAAACAATGCCCTGGAATCCCGCAAGAACCCCCCGCAGAAAGTCCGGGAGGAGGAGGAGGGAGGAGGTGGGAAGGGTGAGGAGGAGTAGAGGAGGGAAGAGGACGGAAGAGAGGAGAGGAGAGGAGGAGGAGGAGGAGGAGGAGGAGGAGAGCAGGCGTGGCACCGGAGCATCCCCAGAGAGGAGCCGCCAGCAGTGGGGGCACGTGGCCGTTCGCGCCCCGCACTGTGGGGGCTGCCTCGGGCGGCTTGCCCGTCCGATTGGAGGTCTGTCCTCTCGGGGCCCCGACGTTCGCCGCGATGCCGCAGGCGCGGCACTCGGGAGGAGGAGGAGGAGGAGGAGGAGGAGGAGGAGGAGGAGGAGGAGGAGGGAGGAGGAGGAGGAGGAGGAGGAGGAGGAGGAGGGAGGAGGAGGAGGAGGAGGGAGGAGCCGCCAGGGGCGGGACATCTGCCCGCACGTGCGCGCCCAGATGGTGGGGATGTCTCGGGTGGGCGGTCCCAGATTCGGCGTCTCGACGTCGGGCGGAAGGGGGGCGGGGGGGGTTCGCCTCCGGACCTCTGCCTGGTGCAGCTGTTTGCGGCAGGGCGCAACCTATGGAGGAGGCTCCGCATGCTCGAAACGGGCGCCCAAAACAGCCAAGATCCACTCCACGGAGAGGGGGGGGAGAGAGGGGGGGCGCGAGGGCCCGCGCAGATCGGCCAAGCGTTAGGTCGGGCCTGTCCCCCTGCAAGGGATTGTGGACGAAAAATAAAGAGATAGCCAACCAATACCCACAAGATGCCCAACAATGTTCAAAGCATAGTCCCCGCCCTATTTTTGGACCACTCTTGGAGATTCCCCCTCTGCAGAGGGACGGGCCCGACTTCAGCCAAGCGAGGCATCAAACAAAAAAACGCCCACCAGGCGGATGGCCCGCTTGGCTGCCTGGGCTTCTCCCCTCTCCGAGCCCCCGGGGCCCGGCGGCGGCCTCGCCGGTGGGGTGCGAAGGGCGAGGGGGGCGGCCCTCCGAAGAAGACCGGCGGGGGCCTCTGCGGAGTGGTCGCAGCCTCCAACCGCAGTCGTGCACGCACTCCTGCATACGCAGAAAGCATCTATACACCACCACCCACCACCGTGCCAGGCCAGGGCCATCCTGGGCCCGAGGATGGTGTGTACGCCCTCCTGGCCGAGCCAGGAGGGTCTATGCACCATCCTACGGCCCAGGATGGCCCTGGCCTGGCACGGTGGTGGTGTATAGATGCCTCCGTCGGATCCTGCGCAGCGTCCAACACACCAGTTCACTTGCAGCCGAAACTGGCGCCGAGAATCTCAGAGTTAGAGTTGCCTCCAGGAGGCCTGCTGCGGGACACAATATGTGTGTCTCGCTTCTCTGGAAGGCTCGAAGGCGGCGTCTGCGCGGCCCCACTCGCGGGCGGGGCTCCTTCGAAGCGCCCACGGGGGAAAAAGCCAACAGAGCCGATGTCTTGATCTCTCCGGCGCCAGGCTTCCGAAGCCCCGGCCCGTTCCCGAGGCTGGGCGCCTCGTCCCGAGCCGTCCTCCTCGCTCTCGAGCGCCCCCGGCCTTCGGACGCCCTAGGAGGCCGCAGGAGGGCCTCGCGAGGCCCCGGAAAGACCCCAGGAAACCCCAGGAGGCCACAATATGGGCGCCCAGAGGTCCCCGAGTGCCGCAGGAGGAGCGGTGGTCAGTCGCGCGGGAGGGAGGGGGAGGAGCAGCAGCAGGAGGAGGCAGAGGAGGAGGCAGAAGAGGAGGAGGAGGAGGAGGAGGAGGAGGAGGAGGAAAGAGAAGAGTCGCGAGGACGAGGAGGAGGAAAAGGAGGAGGTGCATGACGAGCAGGCAGCCGATGGGGAGGAGAGGAGGCGGAGTAGGAGGACGGATGGACGGCGGGACGGAGGGAAGGAGAGACATGGAGAACGCGGAGAAGAGGAGGAGGAGGAGGAGCAGCAGAGGGACGGGGAAAATGATGAGGAGTCAGAGTCAGAGTCAGAGTCAGAGTCAGAGGAGGAGGAGGAGGAGGGTGATGCCAATGAGACGGATGAAGGGAGCAGGAGGCAGGAGTGGGAGGAACGTCACAAGGACGAGGAGGGTAAAGAGGAACGACACATTAGCAGAAAGGCCACCTCCATCGACTTCAGGGGCTCAGACATCCTACGTCATGCATTTTTCAGCCTCAGCGTGTTTCTTTACGTTTGGCTTCTGGGCATGGTTTCCGGACCCACCGGCGAGAAGACGCGAGAGGAGGAGGGGACACCTCGACGCCTCAAAAATAATTTGCGTCCAATGCTTTTCCACTCCCGTGAGAGGCGTAGAGAGCGAGCGAGACGGAAGAACATGCAAGTAGCTATCAGCATGTCCTCCTGACAATTCGCGCAAGCGGAACCAGCTGCAGCCGTGCTGATCCTCTGCTCCTGAACTCGCACGTCGCACACTGTCTCTCCGCTTCCTCGATGACAAACCACTTCCTCTCTTATGTGAAGGGGCCCTGGGACACAAATAAATACACACACCATAATTTCCTATATTTTCTGGGGAATCGACGATTCATTGCGCCTGTGTGTTTTTTCCCTCCTGATTATGACCTGTCTGCATCCCTTCCGCTACGATGCACCTCCCTGAGCGCCTGCTGCCTGCTCAACACTGGCTGCTGCGAATACTCAAACCCTCCGGAGAGAAAGCAAGCACTCCTTAAGAGCACAAAAGTCAGCGCCCCCAGCAGTATCTCGAACCTGTGCCGCATCGAACAGAAAGAAGAGAACGACCCGGCGACGATGGAAAAGAAAGAACGCAGCCCGAAACAATGGAGCCAGAGACCGGCAGCACGATTAGCAAAGCAACCGCAGCAGCAGCGGCAGCAGCAGCGTGTGCGGGCCTGGTCGCAGCAGCAGGTGCGGCAGCCAGCAGCTGTAGCAACAACAAGCCTCGCAGCTCTGCAGCTTGCTGGACTCACACAAGAAGTCAGCACATAGACAACTTTCGGCAACCCATCCGCCTTCCTCCTCTCCCTACTCCTGTCCCCTCCTCTGGCGTGTATCGAGCCTCTGGCATCTCCACATCTGCCTGATCGAAAGCCTCCCAATATGATGCCTGTACATCGATCGATGTTACTGGTTGGGGCAGAGCTGGGGGAATCACAGTGGCAGCGGTGACAGGAGAACACGAGGAGATCAAAGGCGCTGAGGGAACAATAGACACGAAAACCATTCAACAAATCTTCCGTGCGTATGTATGTCTATCGACATGCCGAGATGTGCCACAACAGTAACGATCGATTGATTCATTGGTGAATGTTGAGATCGTCACTGTTAAGATTTCAACATCGACTGTATTGAGATGCGCTTGAGACAAACACGCACACGCGCATAGCCCCCACCCACACACACATACACGCGTGCTTCTGCCTACGTACCTGGCGAGGTGGTATGACCGTAAGACTCGGTGAAAATGGCAGATCCGATGAGTAATAATAATATTAGTAATAATCGTAGTAGTAATAATAGCAATGAGAAGAAGACAACAAGGAGATCCACAAAACCGTTCCCGTGAGATATCATTGGCACGCCTGACATTGATGCGAGCTGAGCGACATCTGCGAGTCCTGCTCGACGCAAGAGCTCTGTCCAATCTGTTCGTTCGGAGACGCGTTGGCAATGTCAACAAGGCCGTGCGCGGCGACAGCAAAACCGACAATTTACCGAACCGACAGCGAAACCGAAACCGGCCGAAACCGACATGACGAAATCAGCCTAGAAGGGCGCAACGACGCTGTAACGACACAATAACCGACCGAACCTAACCGACCGAACGCATCCGACTGCGACGCAACCGAACCGACCGAACCAACAACACCCTTGGTCAACTATGCGGACGTAAGCCGTCTGCGAACGCGGCTGCCCAGCAAAACTAGGCCGCTGACTCGACAGCAGGGACATCGCTCACCCAGCGGACGTACATGGCGCCTTCAAGCCCGCTCTTTCTGCGGGAAGCAGCCTACGCTACTGCTACATCGTCCCTCCCTCTCTCTCTCTCCCTCTCTTGCTCTCCCGCTCTTTGTTATGTTCTCTCTCTATGTATACATATATAATATCACGTTCTCTCTCTCTCTTCCTCTCTCTCTCTCTCTTTATCCCTGTCTCTCTATTTCCATCTCCCGTTCACCTTCTCTCTCTCTCTGTCTCTTTATTTCCTTCTCTCTCTCTCTCTCAGTCTTCATCCCCCTCTCTCTTCTCTCACTGTCGCTCTACATATATCTATCTCTTTCTCGCTCTATCGCTCTCTCTCTCTCTTCTTTTCTGCTCTAATCTCTCTCTCCCTCCCTCTCTCTCTCTCACGTCGCCCCGACCTCAGGCTTGATCGCTCTACTGCTGTTGCAAATCGTGCAAGCATCTCCACTCCCGCTCCATCTTCTCCGTCTCCTCCCTTCCCCCATCCGTCTCCTGGCCCACCCCTTCCCCCTCTCGACTCAACTATTAGAATGCTCTCTTCATCTCTCTCTCTCTCTCTCCTCCTCTCTCTCTCTCTCGCTCTCGCGCTATCTCTCTCTCTCTCTCTCGCTGACCCTCTCTCTCTCTGCCTTGTGTCCTTTTCCGCCCTCAACGTCAGTATTCAACCACATCGAAACAACAAAGCATACGCCTGCGTTAGCTCAACTCCCGATTCCCTTCCGCCCGCGAGCCCGAGGTCGCGCCCGGGCGCTGCCGTGGGAGAAGCAGCTCCAAGTCGGGGGCACTGCTCGCCCCCCGAGGGCTTCGCAGCGGTGGCGCAGCAAGGAAATACAGTCAACCCGTAGCATAAGGATGCGCGATAAGGATGCAAGGGCCTTGGAAGGTCATTCCGAAGCTTCTCGAGCGGAGCGCGCCAACGAAAGTGGCCAGGGACGGGCCGGGGAGGCAAGGATGCAGGGGTACCCTCAGGAAGGGTGCCCGTCCTTGACTGCGTGGGTTGACTGCAGCACGCCCTGCGAACAGGAGGGAAGGGAGGGTTAGTCGGGGGCTCGCAAACAAGGATTAGCGATCCATGGACTTGGCGTGCAGTCGCCAAATCCATGGATTGGGGGAGGCGTCCTCCCCAAGATGCGGCTGGTGCCGCCTCGCTCGGCGGCGGAAATCCGCGATTTCCCATGGAAGCGGGGCCCGTCGCTGATCCACGCCCCCTTGATCCACGTTTGCGATCGCCTGGGTTAGGGACGACAGCGGGGGCCAAGCAGCTGCAGGAGATGAGAGCGGGATGCTCAGCAAGGCTGAACCTAAATGGTGCTTTTCGTTCTCGTGTTGCTTTCGCTTTCCCTCGTTTTGTCTTCAACCCGCCTTTCACGCAAAACGAAATCGAAACAAAAACGGCCCACGAAGTCGCCAAAACACCGTTGAGGTCCACCCCTGATGCTCAGCCGTTCTTCTTGGAGGCCTGGAAATGGGCACCAACACCAACACAGGGGCGCAATACGCAGGGGCGCAATACGCAAACAAAACACCAACACAGGGGGCTGCCTCCACGGGGGGAAGATGATCCTAGATTTCGGTGGTGGTGGTGGCAATATTTCGGTCACCTTGGAAGCCAGAATATCATCACCATCACCGAGATCGGGATCTTCATCCCTCGGTGGAGGCACACCGCCGATGTTGGTGTTGGCGTCAACCTCTAGGCCTCCGACTTAACGCAAAACGAAATCGAAACGAAAGCTGCCCACGAAATCGCCAAAACACCGTCGAGGTCCACCCCTGATGCTCATTACCAGCCTCGAACGCACCCCTATCCCTAAGATCGACACGCCAGAAGGCGATGACAGTCTTAGGGATCCGCCCTCAAAAAATAGGGGAATCCCGAAGATTGGCATCGTGATGAGGAGGTGCCCAGCATAGGGATTGGGATATGTTCCAGGCTGGTAATGGATGGTCTCATTTCTTTCAAGGCTGTACCTCCTCCTCCTCCTTTTCTGATCCTCGCCTTCCCCTCAAGGCTGTGTACCTCCTCCGCCTCCTCCTCCTGGCTCTTCCTCTGGATGGTCTCATTTCCTTCAAGGCTGTACCTCAGCTGGTAAGCTCAGCCGTTCTGCCGCGGCGCATGCCGCGGGAGCTCTCCGCGGCGGGCACGGCGCCGAGATCCCACCGCCCGTGCAGCCAGCCCGTGGACGGCCCGCGCAGAGGCCGTCCTTGAGGCCGGGCGTGCCCCCCTGCAGAGGGGGGTTCGGACGAACCATACAGTCGGGGCGTCGACCTAAGGAGCCCTAAATAAGGAACGAGGCCCCTTTTTCCCATCAGTTCAACCTCGATTTTCCATGGAAAACCTCAGGAAAACCTTTGAAACAATCAAGGAGCACCGAGCCCCTCCCCAACGAAAAGGGTTCCTTCTTCAGCGCCCCGACAGTACAACATACTCCAGCAAATAATCAAACATTGTTGAAACATCATCCCCAGGGGGGGTTCGGACGAAACATACAGTCGGGGCGTTGACCTAAGGAGCCCTAAATAAGGAGCGAGGCCCCTTTTTTCAATAAGTTGAACTTCGATTCCCCATCGAATACCCAAGGACAACCTGAGGCAAGCTGCGAAACAATTAAGGAACACGGAGCCCCTCCCCAGCGAAACGGATTCCTTGTTTAGCGCCCCGACTGTACAACATACTCCAGCAAATGATCAAACATAGTTGAAACATCGTCCCCAGACTTTAACAAGCAACATGCTTCTGAAGATTCCTCCTGTAGGGGGACACGCCCGACTTAAGACCATCCGGGCACCGCATCCAGCGCTCAGGGCCAGATCGTCTCTGCGATACCTCGCGCACCTCATGGATCTGCTTGTGAGCGCCAGCACCGCCATGCCACACACAGCCTGGAGGGCTGCAAGCGTCTTCGGCGTTTCCCAACTAGGAGTGAGGGGGTCTTACAGTCAACCCGTATAGCAAGGATGCGCGATGAGGATGCAAGGGCCCTGGGCGCCCATTTCGAAGCTTTTCGAGCGGAGACGGCCAACGAGGATGGACCGACGAGGCAAGGATGCAAGGCTGCCCTTGGGAAGGCTGCCCATCCTTGCTACTGTGCGGGCTGAGGGTGCTGATCACCCTGCGTCGGCCGCAGAAGACGTGCCCTGGGACGGTGCCCCTCCCGCGCGCATCTCTCCCGCGAGCCTCCGTTGGACTTCCCGTGCGCGCCCGCGCGCTCGCGGCGCACAGCGCACGCCCAGCGTCTAGCTGCCAGGGAGCCTCGCGCCAGGCGTGCCCCCTCGCGGGGCGGCAGCCGCCGCGAGGCCAGCGTCGCTGGCGGGCGGGTCTCTCTGGGCGAGCCCGAGCGCTCGCGGCGCAAAGCGCGTCGGCAGCACTCGTGTCGAGAAGCTTGCAGTGGATTTCGCTCCAAGCGTGGGAGGAGGAGGAGGAGGAGGAGGAGGAGGAGGAGGAGGAGGAGGAGGATGGAGGAGGAGGAGGAGGAGGAGGAGGAGGAGGAGGCCGCTCGCTCCTGGCGACCCTATGCTGGGGCGACAGGTGGAGCTCTACCATGGGGCACGGTCCGCGTGGGTGGCGTGCCAAGTGGGGCGGGGCAACGCCATGCAGACCTTCCCGCTGGGTGCCGTACAGTCGGGGCGTTGACCTAAGGAACCCTAAATAAGGAACGAGGCCCCTTTTTCCATAAGTTAACCTTCGACTTCCGATCGAAAACCTAAGGAAAACCTGAGGCAAGCTGCGAAACACTTCAGGAACACCGAGCCCCTCCCCAACGAAAAAGGTTCCTTCTCCAGGGCCCCGACTGTATGGGCCACGATCCGCGTGAGTGGTGTGCCAAGTTGGGCGGGGCGACGCCATGCAAACCGTCCCACTGGGTGCCGTAGGTGGAGCTGCCGAGGGGGCACCATGCACGTGAAGAGTGTGCCCAGAAAGGCGTGGCAACTCCATGCGTATCCTCCAGCTGGGGCCGAAGGTGCAGGTGGGGCACGAGCCGCGTGAGGGGTGTGCCGAATTGGGCGGGGCAGCGCCATGCAAACCTTCCCATTGGGAGCCGTAGGTGAAGCCGGCCCGCGCGAGGTGTGCACCGAACGGGTGACAGCATGCTCCAGACAGCGCAACATCGCGGCAGGAAAGCGAGGAGAAGGAAGGAAAGAGGAGGGTGGTTCTGATGCGCTTGGCTCAGAGACGCTCTGAAATGTGGTCCTGCTCGTTCCTGGTGTTCCAAACCCGCGTGTGCTGTTGGGCCCTCGATTTGAATCAATCCTTCCTCCATCAGCATCAGCATCAGCTACCAGCTATCAGCATCATTTTCAACATCAACATCAGCATCAGCATCATCATCATCAGCATCAGCATCAGCATCAACATCAGCATCAGCATCCGCATCAGCATCCGCATCAGCATCCACATCATCATCAGCAGCAGCATCAGCATCAGCAGCATCATCACCACCACCATCACCATCACCATAATCAGTATCACCATCACCATCATCATCAGCAGCATCATTAACATCAGCATCATCATCATCATTACAGTAATTTCCACACCACCATCATCATCAGCAGCAGCAGCATCAGTATCAGCATCATCATCATCACCACCATCATCCTCATTATCACCATCATCATCATCAGCACCATCACCATCACCATCACAACCATCACAACCATCACAACCATCACCATCACCATCACCATCACCATCACCATCACCATCACCATCACCATCACCATCACCATCACCATCACCATCATCATCATCATCATCATCATCATCATCATCATCATCATCATCATCATCATCATCATCATCATCATCATCATCATCATCATCATCATCATCATCATCATCCCTCCTCCATGCGCTACTGTGGGGAAACCAAATGTACCCATACCGCTATTCCCCGTAACTCTCCATGTGTGCGTTCTGACACAAATTTCGCGGCGAATCGAGCGGTGGCGACGAAGGCCTCCCAAGAGGCCCCAGAAGGCGAAAACGAGGCGGGGGTAGCGGGCTTGGGTACCTTTTCATCCTCTGATGCTGCTCCTCCTTCGTCCACTCATCCTCTTGCAGACGCGGCACATCCCTGAGATGGCCCCGCGACATGCCCGGCCCCGTTCGGGGGACCTCCTGACCCGGGTCAATCTAGACCCAGGTTTATCGGGCTTTGCAGGATCCTGCAAGATCCAGCACGCAAGCCTGGGTCAACGCAGCCCTGGCTCTGCAAGGTCCTGAAAAAATCCCGCGCTGTGACCGATCCCCGTCTCAATCGGGGGCGGCAAAGAGGGGGGTGTCCAAGAGGGGGGGGTGCAAATCATGACCGGCGGCACGTGCGCGGCCCAGCGGGGGGCCAGGGACGTGATGGAACAAGAAGAGGCGCCATGAAATCTGGGGAAACATCATGGCCCCCGCCATGACATCCGCCCCCCCCTGGTCATCACCCCCCTCTTTTCCGCCCCCGGCTCAAGGCTCCCGATCCGCACGGCGCCGTGCCTCCCCGGGCGCTCCACCCCGGCGACGCCTGGTGCGCTCACGAGTCCGTGCATGGCCTCCGCCTTCTTGACTGCAGCCCTGCGCGCACACGCGGGTGGAGGAGGAGGAGGAGGAGGAGGAGGAGGAGGAGGAGGAGGAGGAGAACAGGAAAGGGGAGGAGGGAGGAGGGAGGAGGGAGGAGGGAGGAAGGAGGAGGGAGGAGGGAGGCGGGAGGAGGAGGAGGAGGAGGAGGAGAACAGGAAAGGGGAGGAGGGAGGAGGGAGGAGGAGGAGAACAGGAGGGAAGGAAATGGCGGCCTCGATACTGATAGCTTTCTCGATGTGTCGGGGCGAGGGCCGCGAGAATCGTGAGCGAAGGTGCGCGGGTATGGAGATGCTTTTGCAGAAGCTCAAAACTCTGGGCCCGATGATCACAGAGATGGCAATCACCTCGATCGGGGTGAAGATGACCCCCATAGAAACGCGACGTTTCGATGCACCTGCCCCCTCGCGCGACGCCCAGGAGAAAGCGTCGCTGCGCTGTCTTGACACAACTGAAAACCGTAAGGCAATAGGGGCACACAATCGTAGTCACGAGCCTGGTCCATATACCTCTCTGCCCATGCTTTGCCATGCGATGCTGTGTAGCAGCCTTGTACGTGTCAAAGCAGGCTGTGCACTCCTCCCCCGTCTCCGTCCGATACCCGCATATCCATCCTCCTCCGCCTTCCATTGTGATTGCTGTAGCTGTTGGTTGCGTAGGTAATGTTTCCCTCCTCCACCCTGGCGGCTGTATAGCTGACATGCAGACCCCCTTTCGTAACACCGTGAAATCCTGCATCAAAAACTCCCGCTTTACGTCGTCATCCGTGAAAATGTGCGCCCACCCCCCCATGTGTACATGTGCCCAAGCATCCGCCCTCGTCATCAAGTCCATCCACTCCCTCGAGAACGTCAGAGACAAACTGTCGTGCCCATGGATTTGCTTCGGTCGAAACTGAGCCCTCGCACAAGGTCGGCATCTCTTCGAACGGGAAGCGCCCGAACGCAGAGGTGAGAATCTGGTCATTTTTCCACTGGTGGGCGACCGTCGTCTGCATCCTCTCCAGGCGCCGCACCCGCATCTCGAGGCTCGCGGGGACCATGCGCCAATGCTCCAAGACTTGCGCCGTGCTCAATGATCTATGTTCTGTGCCGCTTGCTGTTTCGACTTGTTCATGGGCAGCGCCTCTCGTTGCAGGACGTGCATATTCGGCTAAAAGATGATCTAGTCCTATGCGCTGTTGCTGTGAGCATACGTATGCTCCATTAGAATGTAGGGCGGTGTTCTGCACACAACAACATAAAATAATACGTTTGACTCGCCACGGCGTTCGTTTGAGGGGCCAAAACACCTCTGGGAATAAAAAGCCGCCGCCGCCTTCTTGCGATAGCTGAATTCAACAGCGAAGCTACAGTTGGGTCCTATGCGCCCCCCCAAGTATCTGGCGCGCGCGCGCAGTGCGAGGCAGGGAAGGCAACTCCTTGCACGCGGCGGCCCCTTGCATGGCCCCCGACCCCGCCCCAGACGGAACCGGTAAAACTCGTTGATTGCTCACGTTCTGTTCGCGCCGCACCTCTGCGAGGGCCGTTTGGAACGCCTGGACATACTGGCGCGCCATGCACGGGCCCCCCATCAGGCCGCCGCAGCCTGACTGAAAGCAGCGGGGGCCCTCTTCGGACTGATGGCATACTGCTGCTTCCTCGAATCGCTGGCACCCGAGTCGCTCGAGCCCATCCTCCATGAATCCAAGAGCGGCAGCGCGCATGCCGGCCCACTTCGCACCGGCAAATGCGTTGGTGAGATCATGCAAGTGGACGAGGTCAAAGCGGCCAGCGCGACGGTTTCGCCGCATCATAATGAGCGAATTGGCAATGGCATTATCCTTGCAACTGCGTGGCAGGAAGCGCAGCACTTGGGGGGGCATCTCTGGGGTTTCGGAGCGAGTGGAGTACCAGCCCTTGCCGAGCGGAGGAAGGAGGTGGATAGTTCGCAACCCCGACGCCGCGCCCCCCAAACTGGCGCCGCCCCTTTTCGGGCCAGGAAACGCCCTGACTCGAGTGCCAAAAAACCAGAGTTCGCAAACCAGTGCGCACGCGCAAGCACGCACCCTCCAGATGAGATCGGGAAATGGGGGCCGACGCAACAGGCTCTTCGGCACCTACTCCTCTACTTCGAAACAAGGCCACCGCGGGCGGGGCCAGCAACATCGCCAAAAGCTCAACAAGGGCAGCCCGGCGCTGGACCGCCTTCCTTTTTGGGGCCCGCAAGACCCACCTCTCGAGTTTTCGCGACATCGGCCCGCGCTTTCTTGCGTTGCCGCTCATCAAGACGGGAAACAGAGTCAGGCGCAAGATCTTCATCCACGCGGGCTCGAGCATTGGATCCAGGAGGGCGCGAGAGTCGTCTGCATGCCACCCTCGCTTCCCAGCTTGGAGAGCTGATCTACGGAGGTGCCGCCTGCGCCGCAAGCGCCGCAAGCGCCTCGATTCCAGAATCGACGGAGGCGCCGCCTGCGCCGCAAGCAGAGGCCGTCGTTTCGTCCCGTAGTTGCCCCCAGCAGCCTGTCGCGCCAATCTACGCAGATCATGAAGCTTTCTCTGTCGCCACATCTCCCGCGTCTGCTCGATCGCGTCTTCCTGAAAGGCCCCCCACTCAAGATCGCGCTCGCGCCGCATCTGACGAGTCAACTGTCTGAGCTCTTGGGAGACTCGGGCCTCTTCGGAGACGACGGGGGCGCTATATGGGCTGGTGTCAGCCTCTTGCGTAGTGGAACTCGCCGTGCTGAGTGCAATGCGGAGTTCCCGTCGGCGGTGGGCGAGATCGCGCCGATGGGCCGGTAGCTCGGCGCGACGTGGGTCTGCCACGTGGTCAAGCAGAAAGAAGTCCTCAACCTCCTCCATCATGGCGCCTTCCACGTGCGCCCACAATGCATCTGGTAGCGCCCGCGTCGTCAAGTCGCGCATCAATTCCTGATCGGCGGACAGGCGGTTCTCAACAGCATTGATATACTCGTCTCGCTCAGGCGCTCCATAACATGCGCCCATCAGCTTGTTGCGATCCCATCGGAGGCGAACCGTCGCCGCCCTTTGTGGTTGAGACCATGCAGGTCGCCGAACTTGCGCATGAACAAACTGGCGGTCCCGTTTGGCCTTCGTCGGCATGAGTTGCAATCGACGCGATCGCTGATGCGGGACGCCTGCGCTGTTGCAGTGCAGCGAGGTCGGTAGGCACATGTAGTCTATGAGGCTCTCCGCGTCGCCCGTTCCATACCATGTAGATTGTCCGTGCTGTGCCGTCAAATAGCGTGCCTCCAGTAGTTCTCGCATCAGCTGGCCCGCCACGTGTTCGGTGCGCTTGCCATCCTCAAATATGGCAGGCGTCTCCTTTCTAAGGGAAGAGTGTGGCGGGGATATCCTCATGCCGTCGTTAAGACCCATACATGATACAGTGGCCGATCTGCTAGGCGTCCGTGCGAGGATGCCCGCCACCCAGCTCACCAGGGCTCGAACCGTGCGGTGATACTGCCTTCCCTCCTGCTTGGTCTTCACCCTCGGCGAAAAGTAAACACCAATGAACGTGAAACCATACACCGCGGAAGATAAGCGGGCAGACAGCCCGCGGCCAGCCAGTTCAGGACCTGGTACATCCACGCGTCGAAGGTGACGTTGTTTGATATTCCTCCCGAAAGCCATCGTAATCCCAGCAGCATGATTCGTCATCTGGCCTGGCTTCCAGCCCGCCTCGATCTGCCACCGTCTCTCCAATCTCCGTTGTTGGACTCTAAGATCAGCCCGAAGTCCCGTGCCCACTAGTGTCACACAATCAAAACTCGCACATGCCAAGTTGATATCCTCCTGCCGATCGCGTCTGGATGAAGAGAGGGGGCTCAAATGTCCGCACCGCCACACGTGTGGCAGCAGTGTGGGCTGGTCTGGTTCTGTCCCCATCGGTCTCGAACATTTCTCCAGCTTGAATTGGAGGCAGGCCCCTGCGGCCATGATTCATGATGGTCACCAGCAACCCGTGGTTCATCCGAAACCCGACAAATCATGTGGGTGGAAACATGATGTTCGGTCTGAGCCGCCGCGCCCTCCTGGGAGCCCAAACGGCGGCTGCGCGCGAGGGGGTGGAGGGAGGGGGGAGGGCTGCGGCTGCTTCTTAGAAGGCGCCGGCCCTACATCTACGGATATGGCCCGCGGTTTCTAAGAAGCAGGGTGTTTCTAAGAAGCCCTCCCCAACGCCCCACCCCCCTTTGCGCGTGGCTGACACACACACACACACACACACACACACATGCGTTTCTGCGTGGCGTCGCGGCTGCGCGCGCGGCGGCGCGGCGCAAAAGTCGGGCGGAGGGACGCGCGCGGCCCATGTCGCGCGAGCACACAAACTCACGAGCACGCGCACGCACGCTCGCACGCACCACAGCAAATCGATTTCTGAAGTCCTGTGCAGAAGGCGACGCGTGGGAGAGGCGCGCCAGCACCACACACGACCAGGGGAAAGGGGAGAGCAGGGTTCACATTGAGTCAATGATGTGCGCTTGTACATGGAGATGGCCCTGAACACCCTATTCTCGATGCGAGGAGGGGCACCCCACGATCACACCTGCATCCTCCTCAAGGCTGTCGTCGTCTCCGCTCCCTTTCTCACCGTGGCCCCTCTTCCTTCGTCCTCGTCCTCCTCCTCGTCCTCGTCCTCCTCCTCGTCCTCCTCCTCCTCCTCCTCCTCCCTCTCCTCCTCCTCCTCCTCCTCCTCCTCCTCCTCCTCCTCCTCCTCCTCTACAATAACTCAATATGAATATACTCTCCCTCTTCCCCTGATGGCGTCCGGGCGATAGCCGCGCGCCCTCCGCGTACTGTTATTTTACACACCGGATGCCCGGAAAATCCCGGGAAACGACTCTCGCTGAGGCGCCGGCGTCATTTTTTCCCAAAGTGCTGCTCCCGCGCCGGCGTCATTTTTTCTCAAAATGCTGCTCTCGTTGGGGCGCCGGCCTCATTTCTGCTCCCGAATCCTTCCCCTGATGGCGTCTGGGTGATAGCCGCGCACCCTCCGCGTACTGTTTTTTACACACAGGATGCCCGGACAATCCCAGGAAACGACTCTCGCTGAGGCGCCGGCGTCATTTTTTCCCAAAATGCTGCTCTCGTTGAGGCGCCGGCCTCATTTCTGCTCCCGAATCGTTCCGAATCGCGCTCCCGCTGCAGCGTGGGCCTCATTTTCGGATCGGTGTTTGGCCTCCGTCGTTCAGGATGGCGTTCTCGCCCCAGCGCGGGCCTCTTTCTCGCGCGCCCATCCGCCCGCCACCACCGCGCACCGCACCACCACCACCACCACCACCACCACCACCACCACCACCACCACCACCACCACCACCACCACCAGCACCAGCACCAACACCACCACCTCACCACCACACACCACCATCACACCACACAGCACCACCACACCACCATCACCACACACACCACCACCACCAGCACCACCACCACCACCACCACCACCACCACCACCACCACCACCACTACCACCACACCACCACCACCACCACCACCACGACAACCACGCACGCACGCACGCACGCACGTGCACCACCACCCGCTACGCACGCGCGCGCGGAGCCACAGGTCCGCTACGACACGCGTCCGCGGATAGAGAAAATCAGCGCCATGCTAAGGGATGGGAAGGAGGGGTAGGACGTCAGATATGACGCGAGCGCACCTAGCTTGCCTCCTCCCCCTCCCCCTCCCCATCCTGCTCCTCCTCCCTCTCCCTCCTCCTCCTCCTCCTCCTCCTCCTCCTCCTCCTCCTCCTCATGAAGCCCGGCCTGAACTTGTCGGCGTGGCAGCCCGGGCACGGATAGCCGCCGTCCTTGCGGGGCCACGGCTTGGTGCTCGCAAGGGCGCGCCCCCCCCCCCGCCGGGCCTCCCGCCGTTGGCCGGCCAAGCACAGCACGTATAGCGCTGGGAGGGCAAGCGACCTCGCACAGCAGCACTCCAATGGGCCACCCCCTGGGCACCCTCCCTCCGCACCCGCTGGCCTCCACGTCCTGCCCAGTCTCCGATGCCCAACAGAGGGACGGATGGCAGCTCTCCTCTGGGCCACCCCCTGGGCACCCTCCCTCCACACCCGCTGACCTCCAAGTCCTCGCCAGTCTCCGATGCCCAACGGCAGTTATTTGGAAAAAGAAAAGCGCCATAAGCATAACCTTTTGGCGCTCTGCGCAGATTTCTTGGATCTGCGCTGGACCCCCCTCCCTGGCGCGCTCCGCGCGCCAGGGGCGGCGCTGGAAGCGCCGCCGGGGTGGGGTCCCGGCGCCGATCCAAGAAATCCGCGCGGAGCGCCAAAAGTTTATGCTCGTGGCGTTTTGTCTTCGAGGTATGTGCGACCATCGTCGTCGCGGGCAGTGGATCCGGGGACGGGGGAGGAGGGGTACGGTTTCCCCCAGGGCCGTAGGCAGCCCGAGGAGGAGGAGGAGGAGGAGGTGGAGGAGGGAAAGGGGGAGATGGAGGAGGAGATGGAGGAACAGGAGGAGGAGGAGGAGGAGGACGAGGAGGAGGGGAGGAGGAGGAGGAGGAGGAGGACGGGTGAGAAAGGAGGAGGAGGAGGAGGAGGAGGAGGAGGAGGAGGAGGAGGAGGAGGAGGAGGAGGTGGACGAGGACGAGGACGAGGACGAGGAGGAGGAGGAGGAGGAGGAGCAGGAGGAGGAGGAGGTGAAGGAGGAAGAGGAGGAGGAGGAGGAGGAGGAGAAGGCATTTGGCCCACGAGGAGGCTGAGCCTTGAGCGTGCCTGGAGAGGCCGCGACACTGATACCGTAAATGACTTTCTCTGCTGTCACATTATGTTTCTATCACGGCGCGTGAGCCGCGCTGGCTTTGGCGCCAACGCGAGCGCCGTCACAGAGCGCGAGTGCTCTTGTCTCTTTACAAAGCCCAGTCCCTGTTGAGAAGCCACCATAGTTCACCCCATGTTCTGAAGATGCCGACAGGACCTGGATACCAGTGGGACTGCTCGTGCGGACGCTACGTTCGAGGGCACCATTGGGCATGTCTATGTGGTCGTCGGTGCGAGCAACGAGTACGGGGACACACCCCTCAGCCTGGTCGCCCTCATCAACCCCAGCGGCGGGACCAGAGCCGCACCCGCAGGGAAGCGCAGCGAGATATACAACGTGACCAGGAGAGGAAGGAGATGAGGCAGGAGCAGGAGGAGATCAAGAGGTTTCTTGGCAAAGTAGTCACGATGAAACGTTCTGATGCAGTACAATACATGGAGCTCATTGGCTATGATCACGTCCCCACTGATATTCCAGGGATCAAGAACTACAAGGCCAGGACAAAGCAGAGGATGTTCGAGATTGCGAGACTTATCATTGTGTCCAGAAAAGCAAGAAAAGAGGACGCCACCCATTACATCAAGGAGGTGGCCTGCTTGAAACATATGATGAGCACGACGGAGCGTTTAACGGATCAGCTCACGGACCTCAAAACAAAGAGGGACAAATGTCAGACGTATCTGAAGTCGCTCACCACCAGGATCAACGAGATTCAGCTTCAGTACAGAGACGCCGAGAACGACCTAGTGGCATGGAAGGCCGCAATAGATGAACTCGAGGAGCTGGAGGACTATATGGTCGGAGAAGAAGATGCAGCTATGACGGGAAAAGGTGCGTTGCATATGCCACCAACAGGCCCACAAGGAGCAGCACCAGCCGCAAAGGCACCTATGCCGCCACCGCCACCACCCATGCCAGCCGCGGTCGGAGTCTCGATGCCAGGGCCCTTCTACCCGCAGATGATGCAGCATATCTTTCCACCGTCGCCTCCAGTCGTACCTCAGCAGACTGACGCGGAGATCAAACAGTTATCGGAGTTGGTCAAGATGCTATGCCAGCGCCAGTGTCATACGGACACGCAGATGAGCACCATCATTACCCACCTCCAGCATCGGCAGCAGGTTGGTTCAGATACGGGGACGTCGGGAACTCCAGCGACCGCAGTGCCACTTTCACCGACGAGTATTCCCCCCGCGCAGCCGAGCCCCGCGACGCCGATAGGAGGGCTTCCCACGCCTGTTACTCAGATAGAGCATGACGGCAACGAGATGAAGGTCGATCAGGCCTCGCCGACGGAGGTCGCGGAGGACCCCTACGGCGTGAAGGCTAAGGATGAAGCTAAAGATGATGAAAAGGAGGAGATAAAGGGACCTGAAGATATGAGCGCCCCGTTTTTGTCTCCGACCCAGCCTTTTTTTCCTGGGGCCCCGACGCAGGAGGATCCGCTTCTGCGACTGGTGGGGGGGGCCCCGAGGAGGCCAAAAGCCCGCCGCGAAAAGAGGCCAGGATTGCCTAAGAGTGGTCCGATTTGGGACCAGCGAATTTAGGGCCTTCACACCTGGTGATAATACCTCTCTCCTGGGTATGCATACTCCTCCCCTCTCCTCCACCAGGGTGAAATCTTGCATGAAAGGCTCGAGATCTAGGGAGTTAGATCCGAATGCGCCTTCAGTTGTTTCTTGTGGGGATCTTCCAGCACGCACCCACACCCACTTAGCAGATGCAAGTCCAGATCCGCTCGTGGGGATCCACAGGCGTCGAACTGGCAACCAGTCTGAGGGAGGGGGAGATGATCGGGTGGGAGTGACCGATCAGTCCTGGAATAGGCGCTTTGCCAACAATAGGTTTGCGCCACTGTTTGAACTGGAATCTGATGTGCATGACGTTGATGAAAGGCAGGACATGGGTCATATGTCCGCCGATTTTGAAGGAGACGCTTCGCCTGGGTCGGACGGCGGAGCAGCGTCAGCTGAGACTAATACCAGTTCCCACACCTTGCCTCCTCCTCACTTCGCACAATTGTGGTGCCCTTTCGAGCGGGGTCCGACAATTACGGAACTTGTCTCCTCTGTCCCTCCGATGCCCTGGGTTCTCGACCTTCCTGGGGACCTTCCTGTAGAATCCACATGGGCCCTGGGGCTCTGTACTGGGCGTGAGTCATGGGGGGAAATCTCTTATTTCACAGACGGATCCCTGAGGCACGGGGACGATGACACGGGAGCGTGGGCCGCAGTGAAAATCGCAGAAGATGATGCTGGTGTCTCGTTCCAGGGTGTTTGGGCAGCCCCCTTTGTGACATCCTTCCTCACGTCGAGAGCTCGGGGGTCTCTAGACAGCACGGACATCGAGTGCGCGGCGGTCGCATGGGTCCTCCTTGGCATCATCAGCGACAGCGAGCACCCGCCTGCCGCGATCTACACGGACTCGAAGAATGTGTGCAATTACTTAAGCGGCGACGCTCCGGTTCGGGATGAAAACGTAATTGCTCGCATGTTGCAGATTATTCACGATATTGCTCTCACAGCCGCTCGATATAGGTGGCCTGATTATGTAGGGGACCCCATTAGAGTCCTCCATATCAGGGGCCACGAGGGGCACCCATGGAACTCGCTTGCGGACCATCTGGCCAACCTCGTGGGGCTCGGGAGGTGGGGACCCTGTTTCGTTTCGCCCGTTTGGGCGCAGGCGACCATGTATGAGTCCCACCGTGAGTGGGAGTGGCTCTCGAGACCCCCGCCAGACACTGTGGGCACCTTCCCCGTCTTGGAAGATAACGGTTTTTGGGCCCCTCCCTTGGATGGCTCTGCTGACGACCTCGGGCACCGCCCAGCCCTGCGCAGCAGCAAAGCTACCCATTCACTAAACCTCAAAGTTGCCTCCTTCAATGCTAAGAGCGCTGCTGTTGCCAAGCGCAGGGGGCGAAAAGGAAAATTGAGATTCGCTAGGAACCTGGCCATCAAAGCCCAATTTGATTCCGAGGGCGTCCATCTAGCGGGCGTCCAGGAGGCCCGAAACCCTAGGGGGGCCTACAATTCAGGAGCTTTCTACGTAATCTCGTCTGGCCATGAGGCAAACGAGCTGGGTTGTGAGCTTTGGATTAACTTAAAGCTGTCATACGGTCAGATGAAGACCACCCCACTTTTCTCCGATAAAAAACACTTTCGTGTGATATCCGCCGCCCCGAGGTGGCTGCTCGTTGCCATTTGTGCTCCTGGCCTAGTGCTCAATGTCCTGGTGGCGCATGCGCCGCATTCTGGTTCGGGGGTGGCCGCTCGGGCCGCTTTCTGGGGCGAGATACAGAGGCTTCAGGATTCCTTGGGACCGGCGCTCACTTTTGTGGACGCGAATGGGAGATTGGGTAATATCACCTCCTCTTCGGTTGGGAGTGCGGGGTTCACCCAGGACCAGGACGAAGGGGGCGAGTGCTTACATACCTACCTGCTCGCAGCCGAGCATCGGGCGATCAACGCCTTTCTTGGAGCGATTGACGACTGGACGTGGGAGTCGACTCGCGGCTACCGACACAGGATCGACTACGTGACTGCCCACCATTGGCTTGCTAACCACGCCCTCACATCCGACGCGCTTCATTCACTTGATAAGCTTTCTTTACATGTGGACCACCAGCCAGTGATTGTTGTTTTCTCTTGGCAAGCTTCGCAGGTCCGCCAGATCCCCAGTTCAAAGAGACTCGATAAGACTGCTTTCGAGGACCCTGAGAAGATTGCCATTTTCAAGCAGGAGCTTAAGGCTTTCGCCTCCTGTCCCGTGGTCGGTCACCGTCTCAGAACATCATGTTTGGGCTGTTTCGGTTATCAAGGAAGCGGCCGTCAAGGCCTTTGGAGTGGCCCCACGGAGGCCGAGAAAGAGCTATGTCTCATCGGCTTCACTTGACCTAGTCACTGCTAGAAGGGGTGCCCTTCGGGTCCTCAAGAAGATCTCTTGTGCCCCCTGTGGTGATCATGAAGCCCGTCTGTGTTTGTTACGCTTTCGGGGTAGACTGAGACATGGGGACATCCTAGGTGTTGCTATGGAT